GTGGATTGAATTTATCTACACATCATCATCTTTACCAGTCAGTAACGCCACCCTCCCTCCTTTTGGGATGTTAGGCTTTTTTTACGTTTGTGGTAAATATGAATATTGCTTTAATTAAAGCCCATAGTTGAAATTCACTGTCTCTACTGGTTCCATCTTACAAGCAAATCGGATTATTAAAGCATTTGCATTATGGGGTTAGACATTCATTTAGTATATCACACTGCTATAAAGATGAATAATGGTAAAAGTTAGAAAAAACGCCAGTTAGTTTATATGTGGTTTAAAGATGGCAAGGACTAATAGCAAATCAGAGGATATGAATGAGTATAGGATTGTAAAATTTTCAAGGTAAAAATAATAAAACATACAACAACTCACAAGGATTTAGGACATTTTGAGCTTCTTATGGTCGGCCTTAGTTGATCAGCATCCATAAGATTAATGAGTTATGTCTACTTGCAATAGAAAAAAAGACATGAAACCTAGGAAGAATAATGTATCTTTAACATTTGGAAACTGAAAATGAGGGTTAGAAGCATGGTTAATGATCAATGAATAATGGGAGAGGATAAACCGTGTGTTCCTTTATTTAGTTATATTCATATTAATAACAATGGTTTTTGTTATATTCTTGTTCCGTCTAAATATTAGATGGTCTATAATAAAGTGCCTCATTGGTATGTAGGAGTTCAAAGACTGGATGAAACTCCTTAGTGTCTAGTAACAGGGTTACTAGTCTTTTGAATTTTTTATGTGTCACAGTTACGGATAAGTTTTGGCTACCTGTTCCACAATAAACTAAACCTCACTGTAAAAAATTTACCACGCATTTGTTTTTTATGTTTTACAGTAAGTAGTGTATATGCGTTGTTTCTTAGTCTATAGGCTGGGTCATGGATCATAGTTTTGCAGCAGGTTGGAGATGAGAATTCGTATATTGCTTTGTAGAAAAATATTGGATTGTTCCTTAGCCTACGGTGCCATAAAGGTTCTAAACAGAGGTTCTTACATCTATCTGTGTAATCCAGAGTAGAATCACTTCCTAGCAGTTGGCGTATGAAGCGTCTTTGAACATCTATTTTTATCTTGTCTGTGGTATTCATATTAAAGAAGATAAAATAGCAGTATTCAAGGGTAGGTCTTACACATATTTTGTGGAGGGTAAACTTAGCCTTTGTTGTGAAGAACGTTTCGTTATGAAACCAATTAACCGTCTAGATTTAAAAATAATAGAGGAGGCATGTTCTTCAAAGTTTATGCCTCCTGTGTAATTAATTCCTAGATCGTGTAGTGATTTAAATGTCTGGACTCTATTGTTATTTAAATAAAGTTGCAGTTCATAGGGATGCTTTCCAAAGTGTATGATCTTGGACTTGTTGAGGTTAAATGGTAATTGTCATTTTTCGCTTCAGATAGATAGGTTACTGAGGTCATTTTGAATCAGTAATACATGTGCACTTAAAGTCACATGAAAAGATTTCCTACGCTTCCATGGACGACTCCATTAATTATTGGTCTAGGTGATGAGAGACAGTCAATGTACTTTACCATCTGTTTACGCTCGGTTACAAACGAAGCAAACCATGAGTATAATGGGTTTTTTATTCCGAAGAGCTTTAGTTTGACGAGAAACCTTTTGTATGGGACCCTATCAAAGGCTTTCTTAAAGTCTAAGAATAGGACTGATATAAGGAGTCCGTTGTCTCGTTCCACATTTATATCATTCAGGCAATCTACTAGGCATGTATCACATGGTATGGACCTAAGAAATCCATGCTGGGAGGTCAAAATGAGATTATTGGTATGTACATGTTGGATTACCGCCTCCTTAACTTTTTTCCATCACTCTAGATACCACTGAAATCATGTTTATGTGCTGGTATTTTTCAATGTTTGCTTCAGGTCCTCTTTTGATTTTGGGAGTGATGTGTGTAGTTTCCCAGACATTATGTTAACACACTATAGAGAGTGATATCGTAAATAGTTTTAGAAGCAAAACACACATATCATCACCTTTGCATTTAAGCATACTTGCCGGAATACCATCTGGTCAATCAGTGTAGCAGTGTCTCAATGTACTAATTGCCTTAGAGATATTTTGTACACTGAAGTCTATATTGGTAATTTCAAAGAGAGGTACTAAGATTGGTTTTGAATCATCCAGTGGTTTTTCGTTGGTTGACGAGAAACAAAAGTGTTTCCTGAATAGTTCCGTAACAAGTTTAAGATCTTCGTATACTCATTTGTCTTTAATAAATATGTTTCCTCTCGATTTAAGACGTTTAAGTTTATTTTGAAAGAGTATGGTGAATGCAGAGGAGTTATTACTAAGTTCGACAGCAAGTTTTTCTTGTGCGACTGTTTCCTGTGTACTTAATGCTTCTGTTAGGACAAGTAATTCTATCATCGTTATTAAAAAGGAAAAGTAATTAAGGTTGTAGAATCGAGTACAATGCTTTTGAAGACGTCTTCGTGTACCAACCGGTATATACATATCTTTAGAGTACTCAGGTTCAAATGATAAGATGGCATGGTTCCGCCTTGCAGGCGTGGCCATATTTATGTAAAATAGTTTTATTCATATTAAATATATTGTTCTATCTTCAGTCTAAATGTGTTATTCATCATATATTGATGGTTGTTGTCAGAATAGATGGATATGTGACTTCCACGTAAGATCTTATAGATTAAGCAGTTACATCGTGACAAATCTACAATTTTAAAATTGGGTCTGTTATTAGAACAGTACTAATAACGAAGTAGACCATAATGGACAAACCATAGTGGATAGATATACAAGCATTCCTGATCGTAAGGGGAAGGTTGATGTTATATGCCTTTACTTCTGAAAATCTTTTGTTAGGATCAGTCATATATTTTCCATCAATAAGCTCAAACTTTTGGGCAGCTCACCATTAACGGACTATCTCGCGTCATCATCGAATCTCTATAATAGACATTTTAGAGTCATGGTTAACTTCACTTTCACAGGCTACAGGATGTATTCATAGTGTGCTACAATATTTTTTATTTTCTTAATTCATATAAATGACCTTTCTCAGCAAGAATTGTTTGGTTTGTTAGTTTTCGTTGACGATGCGAAACTTTGGAAAAACGTTTACAACCAAGATGATAAGCCGGTACTTCAGAAGGATCTGATATGACTTAGAAGTTGAGTGGATAACAACCGGCTTAGTTTTAACACAAGTAGTAAAGTGGTCTATCTGAGACATATTGCAAACCACGCACAAACTTGTGTAGCTGTCGCTTAAAGTTATCTCAAGTTGAAAGAAGTTTAGGGGTGTCGGTACCTTATGATCCGAAGTCTAACGCTAACTGGGACAAAAATGGACTCCAAAAAAACTTCAACTGGTAATGTATAGGCGCGTTTTTGGCCAGTTTGACAAAAGAACTTTCCACTCAATCTTCAAAGTCTTATTTCACCCAATTTAGACCATGCGAATATCGTGTATCCTCCCTCACTCCAAAGTATTTAGAATACTCTGGCACATATCCAACGGTAAGCTACGAAATTAGTTCGAGAACTGAATTTCAAACCTTGTGTAGAGCACCTCAAGCCATCGCACCTGTACCCATCAAAAAGTAGGCAACTCATTTGTGACCTTTTAATAATTTACAACATCCTGAACACTCCTGAGCATCCCTTTAAATACCCCCCTATGCTCAGTTCTAACACAAATCTTAGAGGTAACACCCAGACACTGGATACACATCAAAGCAGAACAGATTGAATGCACACCTCTTATTCCTTAAAAGTAGTCATATTCTGTAGTTCGCTACTGTTCGATCTCGTTCATGTGACTTCCCATGAGTCCTCCAAACACAAAAGGTGACATATTCTCAAGGACTCAGGACAGTATTTCAATAAAATTTAACAATATTTCCATTTTTATAATAAAATATACCCAGATTCTTACCTGGGGTCATAGACGATCTACTGCTACTAGATATGGAGGCCTGTTAAGTGAAGGCTTCCTCTATTCCACCTAGAACTTTTGAACCATTTAAATTTTGTTTTTATTCACTTGTTTCTCTAAAAGCCATTACTAAGAAATCTTGAAATATTAAATAGTAAATTGTCCAACGCAGAAATATGTCCGAAACGTTATTTTTACTTAACAGCTTTACTCGAGCTAGCGCTACGGCGCAATTCCTAGTATCTTCCTAGTACTTTTAACACTTCGAAGCGACACGCTGCAGATTACAGTTACAACTTAGGAAACACCTCCCTAGAAGTATCCCAAGTCGAAGAAGATTGTGGAGTCCTGATACCCTATGATTTGAGGTCTTAGGCTAACTGCGACAAAAATGCCTTTCGATCAAACCTTTCACTGATAACGTTGAAGCCGATTTTTGGCCAGTTTGACGGAAGAACTTTCCGTATGATCTTCAATAGTTTCATCCGTCCCCATTTAGAGTACGAACGCATAGTACTTCCTCCTTCACTCCGAAATGATGAGGACACTCTGGAGTGTATCAAACGGCGAGCCACGAAATCAAATCAGGGACTCAAATTCAATTCCAATCACTCAACCTTTACCCATTAGAGTATAGGCGTCTTAGAGGTGACCTTCTAATGGCTTGCAGTATCCTTAACATTTCTTGACACCCCCTTAAACACCTACTTAAGCTTTACTCCAACACAAACCTAAGGGGTAAAACCCAGAAAATGGAGACACAACATAGCAGAATAGACTGTAGACACAACTTCTACTCCTAAACAGTAGTCAAATGCTGGGATTCGCTGCCAACTGAACTAGTCCAAGTAAATTCTCAGGAGTTATTTAAGAGGCAACTTGACCTATTCTTAAGGACTAAGGATAACATATTATGATTTATCAATTTCTTTTATCCATCTGTTATCGTTAGTATATCTAGGTTCCTGCCTGGAGGTATTGGTGATCAACTGCTACCAGACATGGAAGCCCGTTAAGCGAAAGCTTTTTCTATTCCGTCCATAACCATTTGAATGATTTGAACAATTTAGTATTATTGACCTACAAAATGGAGCGCCAAGTGTGATGTTTGTGCCTCAGATGGACCAGTCGGAGACGTCTGATATACATTTAAAGTTACTATTAATAGGCGATATGAGTAAGCAACATCATTGTTTCTGTGATTGCATCGCTTGTACTTTTTTTCATTCAAACTGCACCAATTTTACACCTCAAACTGGTTGCAGCTGGATTTCTCGTCCTTACCGTAGAATTTCCTTTTGATTTCACGTTATACTTATTAGGACCACTTCTGGACACTACTAAAATTGCAGTTTATCTCTTCGTTAGTGGTTTTATGTAGTATTCTTAGCCTGTTTAATACAGAAAAAGTTGGAGCAGGTTCGTAATATGATGGATTGTAACTTTGACATAGGTACCGACAGTGGGTTCAAACTCTTCTATATCTTCTAATTTAAATAGTGAGTTCATTAGCTGACATGTGTAAACTCATATTTTGTTTTACAAAGCATGAGAAGGTGGATGGACTGCTCTATTTTTGGGAATGATGATCTCTCGATCGATCTAAATTTCTTTTGAGTGCGTCAACAGATGCAGCTTCATTCACTTGTTGGGATAACGAGTTCCATTCGTTGGAAAAGTCTACGGTCAGCTGACTAGTAATTCAGGTCAGACTATCATTTCTGGACGACTTTTAAACATTTCTAGAGTAACCTCATAAGTTCTCTACTTCGGACGACGTAAAAATAAGGTGCATACTTGATATATGTCAGGTGCAAATTTATCATCAAGTAATCTAAAAGCTATGATCAGGTCGGCTCTGGTCCTTCTATATAATGATAAGCGAACTAAATTTAGTTTGACCAATCTTGTCATACGACAACTTTATTATTCCGAAAATCAACTTAGTTGCTGTTTCTTGAACCTTTTCCAACAACTCACTGCCTATTTTGACATTGGATGGCTGCCCGTATGCGATACTCGCGTTTAGGGAGAACAAACACTGTACTAAAAGTTAGAAGTTTTATCAGCTACATAGCTAGGAGTTCTACGTACTGACCAGATAGTTTTAAAATCTTTGGCAGTTAACGCACAGCCGTGTGCAGTAGTCTTCAGTTCTTGGCTAATAATCACTCCTAAACCATTATGTGTCCGGACAACGGATAGTTCAGTGTTATTCACCGTGTATGCGTCCGTACCTCGGTGAGCAATATGCATCATAATGCATTTGGAAGTATTTATTGGCCAGTGTCAAATTCTAAATCACTCAGTAGACTTTTTCAAGTCATTATGAGGCTCTAAACTATCTCCTTTATTTTTTGTCGCTCTCCATGTCTTGATATTATCAGAAGATAGCAAAACCGGTGATGATAAGAGACTAGGAAGGTCATTTATACAAGAAGAATAACATTGGTTCGCAAAGCCATACCCTTATTCACTCCTCTAACACACAGTTTCCCATCTAGACAAGTTAGAGCTAACATGTGCTCTCTTTTGGCTCCTAACTAAGAAGTCGTTTATCTTGTGGTACTCATCCACACCACTAGCTAGCCTGTTGAGATTTTTGTCTGTTGTTTGAGCAGATATTTTTTGTAATAATGCCTCAGGCGCTTTTCTTTTTCTAATTAGCATTCTTAAAATCATGCTGTTTTACCATTATATTTGTTGAGTATTTTAGTAATCATGTGGTGGAGTTTCACTTAACTAATAATTGCATGGTTTTTGGTTCTAGGGTGCATCATTTCGATCTGATATTCGTTTAAGTGTAGATAAAGACAGGTTTGATTCATCATAGCGTTCGTTTTTTTATTTCGAATAATTTCTTAGTCTGAATAATGTGCTTGTTTAATATGAAGACCTTAAATTAAGTCTTATAAGATAGTGAGTCATTGCTCTGAGTACCAGGTTCTGGAAATGTCTCATACATATTGCTTTCAGCAACTAGATATCATGTCTGCCCTACACAGTGTCACTCGAATTTCATCTTCAACAAGGCCAATTATTGTCACGAGATTTTGACATACATATAATTAACCCATTCACCTGGTACTTGGGTATTAGCCGAGCCCTTGACCTAAAGGCCTTATTCACAAGGCAGTGGAGCATCGTGAGGAGATGCAGTCCCATGGTAGCAGGTGACCAACGATTGGTTCATACGCCATTTGTTCCTTCAGGATACTGGAGCCCATGTGCACCATTCGTTTGGGATCCGGTTAAAGCGACAGACGTTCGCTTTTCGTCTCATTTTCGTTAACAACACCCCCTCCACGAGAAGGCAATGAGTAGGACTTCCCTGGCAGAGGCTGTATACGCGTGGCCGTGTGAGAGTATTTCGCTGCATCTTTTTTATTGAAATTCTTAGTCCCAGTGTAGTATTAATTACTCCGGTTACTCCCAACGCAATGTTCTTTGTTCTTCCTCTATCCCTTTTCCCTTCAGCATTCCGGGTTGGGGGTTGCCTCGTGAAGCAGTCTCATGATTTCCTCGGTGTCCAAGTTTCAGCTGCATACAGTGGAGCTGTCTTGACGTTCGCATTGGAGATTCTGGCTTTGATGTTGGCTGAAAGTTGGTTTGAATTTCAGCATTTTCCAGCTGTAGGAATGCTGTCCTTGCTTCACCAATCCTTGTTCTCATATGTGCGTCAGATCATCCTTGTTTAACGATTATGTAGCCCAGGTATGTAAGACTTTCCACCTCCTCTAGAGTTTCTCCATCAAGTGTGGTTGAGTTGGTGCTCTGTGTTGCATTTCAGGATCGTTCTTTTTCCTTGTGTATTTCGCGGCCTACTGCTGCCAAGATTGCTGCTACACTGACTGACTGTCATCGCTTGCATTTGCTGGTGTGTATGTGGTAGAAGAGCTAGGTTATCTGCAAAGTCCAAATCACCTAGCCGTATCCGTTCTGTTCATTGTATTCTGTGCTTCCTCTGAGATGTGAAAGCCTTCATGATCTAGTCTTCACAAACCAAAGAAACAAAAAGGGAGTTAGTAAGCGGCCTTGTCTAACACCGATCTTTATTTGAATTGCATCTGTCAGCTGTCCTCCATGCACGAATTCGCAGTGTAGTCCGTCGCATGGATTCCAGATTATGTTGACGGTCTTCTCACGTAAATCATGCACGACTTTGCTGTTGTTGATTGCTATCTTGTTGTTTTTCCTTTTTTGAACCTTGTCCAGGGTATCGACAGAGTTTCACTTTTTATGATGGTGCTTCTTGTGGCCTGTCACCTTGTGGCACGTTGAAGTTGGCGCGTTTTGATCCCTTCCCACTTCTCCATTGTATTTTCCTCCTCTCTGAGTAGATCTCGTAAGCCTGGAAACTCGTTAATGAGGCCTATCTTGATTTCGTAGAGTTTGTCGGAATCTCGAAGGAAGGCTGTATAAAAGTTTTGCAGTGGTGTTTATCCAGTTGTCCAGTGCTTCTTTAGATGTAGTTTTACCTTGGCCAGAATCAGCTGATGATCTGAAGTTATGTCAGTTCCTCCCAATGTTCTCACTTCTTCCACAGATCTGAATTTTTTATTGATACAAATATGATCTATCTGGTTCTCTGTAGAGTGATTCCGTGAAACTCATGTAGTATCGTGTATGGGTTTGTGGGGGGAATTAGCGACATCTATAACCATTTTGTTGAATGTCCGCAGAATTCGCAAATCTTTCACCATTCTCGTTCGTTTCTCTCAGTCAGTCCATGTCGTCCCGTGATATTTTCATAACTAATGATATCCATCCCGACTTTGGCATTTAGGTCTCCTATGATGTTGACGGTCAAGTCTTTTCCGGTCACCTCTCTACGATCGACTGCCACCTCTTATAAAACTGGTCTTTATCGTGTTCATTGCTACCATATGTGGGTGTATGACAGTGGATAACATTGATTATGATTGCCTCCTTTGTTTAGAATGATGGTTTGATTACTCTGGATCCATGATATTCCAATGCTATAAGTGCTTCTCATGCTTCTATGGACAGCATCAGTGCAACTCCTTGTATGTACAAAGCATCTTCTTCTTTATGACCAGAGTACTACGGTATCTCTGTCGAAGCCTATCACTTCTGTCCAGTTTGGGTCCAATGGGTCTCACTTATTTTCCACCACTACCAAGTTTTATCTCCTCATTTCCACAGCTATTCGACTGGTCCTCCCGGTCTCTCACATTGTCCAGACATTACATTTACCTGTGTTAATTATTGGTCTGCGTTTTAAAAGGGGTATTGCCTCGTAACTTTCGAAGAATTTTAGCTTTTACCATGAGGCATCATGACTTTTCTAAATGAGTGTTTTTGAACTAGGACGGCAGAAATTAAATGATTTTTTTCTGGTTAGCGTCTTTTTCAGCAATGTTGTTTCTTATCGGTTGGGGTTGCTGACCTCGTGCCCGACATTTCTAGTTTATCTGATCTTGGGACCGTCAATAACTTTGGAAGGGCTACAAGCGGAGTAGTATGTTGGTTTGATTTTTCGTGTACTCACCATATGAAAATATATGGTATTATTTCAGATTTCAGAAAGTAGCGCAACAAATCGATCAGTATTTAATCTGTTTATGCAATTTTTTCATTAAATTATATTAATGCTCGTACGATATTGTTCTTTAGGTTTTTTTGTATTTTCGTATTACAGTTTTAACTAAAAAAATTCGCAGTTGTAAAACTAACTTTCATTCGATGTGACTTGGGATAGAGTTTCTTATGTTGTCGATTCTTCTTAGGTAAAACAATCTAGTGCAAATAGCTACATATTTTTGTTTATTTATTTAATTGGCATCAAATGTCGTACAACTGGAGAAAAAGGCTTGTATGACTTACACAAAATAGAATTTGTGTGTAGATTGGGATGCTGCCCGAGCACCCGTACCGAAGGAGTTCAAAGTAACTTCGAATTTCGGTAGATTTGTTTGGGTGAAATGCAATGTGGATTCATGAATAATGGTTCTTAATAACTACTAACATTTATGAGGATTCAACTCGACGTTTTCTCCCCAACCAAATTATTTAGTTCGTCTGATACAGTTTCACTTGTTTTTCTGTAGATGTTGGGAAAAGCAGCCTTCTCTTCCGGTACATCGATGACGGTTTCAGTGATACCTATATGAGTACAATTGGAGTAGACTTTAAAGTAAAAACAGTCATGATTGGCAATACAAGAGTAAAGCTACAAATTTGGGATACCGCTGGACAGGAGAGATTTCGTACTATAACATCAACGTATAATTTCATTTATAATTAATATTTTGATAAAAATTATCAGATATTATCGTGGTGCCCATGGAATTATCATTGTATATGATGTCAATGATGTGAAAACATTTTGTAATGTAGAGAAATGGGTAAAAGAGGCACAAACTTACGCTGATGAAGGAGTAGCACGAATACTAGGTGAGGAGTGCTTTTCTAACCATTTACATCATAGTCTAATTCATTTTCTAGTCGTTTCTTAAAGCTTAGGGGAATTATTACAGCTTCTTCACTGGTAAACTGACGGATATAAATTATATACAGATTTGTCAGCTTTTTAATCTTTATTAAGCTATCATGAAGATGAAATGTTCATGACAATAATAAATTAATAGTCATCCTTGCTGCCTACCTTATGTTGTTTATATTCGGCGACTATGTTTTACTCCTCTGTCATAGGACAGGATGGATTTCTATGTTGTTAACTTAGTCATTGATGAGCAAACAGATGCTTCACTAGTGTTATGTGAACCTTGTTGTCGACTCCAAGACTTAATCATAGATCAGTTGGTCAGGGCTTCTGTGATTATTAAAACTGTAAATGTTCATATCTTTCCAGTAAACTTTTATAACAAACATGCTTCTAGAGATGACTCGTCGTCTGAAATTTCAGTTGGAATCGAAGGCTGTAAACGATATAGTTCTTTTTGGTGAAAAAGCTGACAACATTCAGGACCATTCGACTGGTTTGAATCGAAAACAGTTTTCAGATGAATTCCTTTTCTTCGAGATTAAAATTGTTGCTTAACGATCAGTTTGCATCAATGCCTGATCTGACCATAAGAGGGGAAGGAACTGACCACGTTGGCCACTGTACATATGTGTAACAAATGTGTCATCCACCACCTAAGGCATTGTGGAACAATTGCTAGTATTGGAGAAAGGACGGGATTGGTCAAGTGTAAACAAATCATCAGTTCATTAAGCCATTGAATGTCCGATTAAGTTTTGTTGGGTTGTAGGAACTTAGTTATGATCCATGCTAAAACCACATTTAGTATTTGAAGATTTCAGATGATATAGGTCAAAATTAGTCATTGTGGTGCATATGTCTCCGTCTTTTACTCCTTTCAAAGTCTTAAGTTTCAAGACTATTTCGTTATATGCGTCTCCATTCCGTTCGTTCTTACAGAACTATATTCCCTGCGTAATTTTTTAAATATAATAAACACTACTGGTTTAACTTTTTTAATTCTCACCCTGTTACTTTCCTCTCAATGCGCTAACGTGTAATATGGCAACTTCGATCCATGCATATTCGCTATATGTCCTACATTGTTTATGGCTAAAGGATTTCTGTTGTGGAACTAATTACTCCAACCACCTTAGCAACATTTGGTTTATTGAAGTCGATATAGTCACATCATAAACAACATTTAGCCATAGGTAACGAGACTAATAGAAAATCAGACTATATCTAAGTAGAATATAAATTTATCAAGAATATTTTCAAACTTTGAAAACCATAAAACGTTTTATATTTTAAACCTAAAATTTCAAAAGGTGTTCCTCTATACTTTGTTTTATTTTTACGTGAACTCATATAAAAAGTCTTCAACAACTTATTTCATATTGTCAGGTTGGTTGAGTTCCCTCTAATGCAATATTCTAACCAACGTCATCGTTCATCTTCGCTTTGATTTTCTCCATTCATGTCCTCTTTCATTTAGTCACCAAATCTATTGACGCCTATGCCTTTTATCTGAATACTGAATTCATGGTTTACTTTCGCATTACGTAATCATTGTCACTTGTTGCATTAATATATCTTTATTATTAAAGAAATATGATATACGTACAACTTGAACATGATATCTCTAAATGGGAGAATATGTTCATTACAGTTTATTTTATTTCTTTATACCTGATTGAACTTGTTTGTAATAATTTTGTGCACTCGTTTCTCACATTAAAAATCTATAAATAACTGTACAGTGCGTTCTTTTTTTAATTATTCCCTTCGTTTTTTTTTCAAAAAAAAAAAAAACAAACAAACATTTTAATAGTCGGTAATAAAAACGAAAGTGAAGAATTAAAAACTGTAGCCACTTGTGATGCTCAACGTTTAGCAGCTAAAAATTCATGTCTTTTTATTGAAACATCTGCTAAAAATGATGAAAATGTTGATCAGGTTAGTGTTGCAATTTATATTACTTAAAATTTTATGAGATATGGTTGGTTTATGTATTTCTCAAGTTTTTATTATTATTTTTTCTATTTATAATACCATGGTTATTTTAAGATTTAAGAAGTTTATATATAATGTTCGGCTCATTTAACTAAGCAGTACAGCTTAAGGAAATGTATTTTCGATATCATTATGGCGAATTATAAATTTATTCTATTTTCTTCACAAATACCATTTTTTATTTAAAAATATTTGGAAAATTTATATATGTACATTATATAAGACTAAGTATTTCATCATAATGAAATTAATGCATTATTGTCTCAGTTTATATTGATTAATCATATGATACAATCTATACAGTGAATAAATTCGGTGGGTACATGTGTTTGGCAAAAACAGAAGTTGAGTTGTCTAAAATTTGTATGGATTCCTAGTTTTTCTAGAGAAAAAAAACGTATTTATGTTTGTATTAAGTTATTTTTACACACTTGAGGTTTGCTTTTATTTTCCATTCTCAAAAAAAACCAAGTAGAAATAATCACAAGGTGATGAATTAATGTTGGTTTTTGTCGTGAGATCTATCCTCTGAATAACTTCCCACACGTAATGATATAAGAATAAATTCATGTCAAACTACTTGAAATTGTTATGTGAAATCTGTTTTTAAGTGACAAAACCGTTCAAGTTGAAAAGATATGCCAAACAGTCTAAAGGTCAAAGTATACTTACTTACTTACGCCTGTTACTCCTCGTGAAGGAGCATAGGCTGCTCATGAGCATTCCTCACCAGAAAAAAATAATTACAAGGTCAAAATATACACGTTTATATAATTATATGACACGACGGTATCGTGTTTGTCAAATTGACAGAGAGATATGTTGTTGTAGGTTGAAGATAATCGATAAGTGTCTTTGTAGATGCATATGTCGATTTTACTTGATTATATTCTTCAGGATTTTTTGTACATTGCAAAATGAGATTGAGGCATGTGTTTTAGTTCCACTCCACCGATAATCGGAGTGTTAGTGAAATAGATTGCAAAAGTCAGCTGTTAATTGACAAGTTACATTGTTTATTACCTTTACTTCTGTTCTATATTACTTTTTTGGTGCTATTGATTAGTGTAACAACTTTGATTGGTTCCAAATTCTGAATTATGTAGATAGGGACGCAAACATACTGGTCGCTATTATTTATAATTTTTTTGTGTAATGCTATTTCTTCGAAGATGTCACAGCAGATCATTTTGCTGTCCATTGAGAATTTTACCGTTCAGAGTGTCATTTAAAGCATGTCCGATAAGTAGAAATAGTAGTGATAGTGAATGTAATATAAGAACTTGTAATTCCCAGCTCTGTCAAATACGTACTGTATTAGTCACAAATGAACCAGGACATGAACGGAGCAAAAAGTCTATGCACACTTGAATGCATCGTATTTAAATTCGAATCAAGCGCAAAAATTGAACAAAAAATTACCAAAATGTACAGATATCATAGTACGATCGATGGTTTCTGAAACTTTTCTTACAGAATTTTACTAAATTAAAATCTGTTATATCCTACAACCGACCGATATGGGTAGATGACCTTGAGCAAGCAATACTTAGCAAGGACGAGGGAGACATACTCTATGCTTGACGGTTGGATGAATACTAACTGGCCCCGAACGAAGGAAAAAACACAAAACCAATAATCATCATTTCAAGATCGTTATTATATTTTAGACATTCATTTCTATGCTTACAAGACTAGACCACGCAGCAGATCAACTGAGTAACAATATTAACGCAGAGGAACAACATTAATGATGGGAAAAACGGAGTGCTGGGTACAAAAATGATCAGTCCTAGCTTATGAGTGAAAAATGCTATAACAATATACGGTTCAAATAACAGCTTGGAACCAGAGAGTATCTATTCATAATTTCGACTACCAAAAAGGCATGGATTACTAAGGACGACTACCAAAAGGTCGTATATTAATAAATGTGGTCAGTGTAAAAGGAAATAATATTTTTAACTGTGTGAAATATGTTCGCTTTACTCTCTATCCTTTCACCTTACGACCTTTTAAAAATGTTTTCCTGAACGTATGACGAAGAGTCTACTTTCAACAAAGACTGATAAATACTGTAATGTCCCGAATTAGGTAACAAATTGTTATTACTCTACTTGTGTTATGCCGTACATCTATTTCGAACAGCTAGGATATAATCTATTGAAGGGAATGTTTTTTGTGCTGGATTCCCTACAAACCCAGAGTTTGTTAGACAGTTTCAGATGACTGAAAATGTAAAAGTCATAGACTTGATTACGACTACGTATTTGAAAAGAGCAAGAACAAAGATTCTAGCAGAATAGCATGAATTCATTTTATTTCGTAGGTTCTCGTCAGCTGCTTACAACCTGTGATATCTAAAAATCATAATTACATAATGGGTTTAAATTGCTAACTAAATATTGTAAATATATACCTAATGTGAGAGAATATTCTACAACATTAATTGTGACAACAGTTCCAAAGTGGGTTAGAAACAATCGATTACATAATAAATAACATTGAAGGAATGTAGTGAGTAGAGTTCAGTTGAAAGATTATTAATTTGAAAGATAGTTAAAAAAATAAAATAGAGTCAATGATGTAATAAATGCAACAAAAGAAGAAGACGGTAATAACTATGGTCAATAAAAAGCCAGTATATATAAATCTAAACTTTAAAGGTGATGACGTCGCACAAATTATCAACAACAGACTGAATGCAGCGCTAGCCAGAACTTATCCGGCTGTTAAACTTTTAATTCTCTATAAAACAACATGTTCAATAACCCAATCAAAGATCGACAAACAACCCTTTCAGGTTACAACCAACTGTATTTATAAATTTACGTGTACCTGCCAAAGTAGCTACATCGGCCGAACTGAAAGAAGAGCATATCTTAGATTTTTTGAGCATGTTCCAAAAAGTCTTAGAACAAGGGAAAGAAAGACTCTGAACAGTGCAATCACCAAACGTCTCCTTGATACAGGACATCAGGTAGATGCCTTACAATCCTTTAGGGTGATTAGTAAGCAGCCAAACTCCAGTCTTCTGAAGTTTGCTGAAGTCATTGCCATCAGGCGTCAAAAACCTGACCTATGTATTCAAAAGGAGACGGTGGTTAATCTTTCATTGCCCTGGTGACAAATATATTCCTTCACTGCACCATAAATTTTTTTTATTTTTTTTGTTGCATTTATTACATCATTGACTCTATTTTATTTTTTCAACTATCTTTCAAATTAATAATCTTTCAACTGAACTCTACTCACTACATTCCTTCAATGTTATTTATTATGTAATCGATTGTTTCTAACCCACTTTTGAACTGTTGTCACAATTAATGTTGTAGAATATTCTTTCACATTAAGTATATATTTACAATATTTAGTTAGCAATTTAAACCCATTATGTAATTATGATTTTTATATATCACAGGTTGTAAGCAGCTGACGAGAACCTACGAAATAAAATGAATTCATGCTATTCTGCTAGAATCTTTGTTCTTGCTCTTTTCAAAATGATAAAGGGAACTATGTGTATGAAATTTCTCAAAAAAGACTACGTATTTGTTATAAAAACGTACTAATATATGGTATAAATTTATATCTATTTGTCTTGAATAAAATAATTGATTTGCTTCCAAAATGAGACAATTTTATGTAAAGTACAACACAAAAAACATCACTTTTGATAAGTTACTGTTGTAACGTGTTTGACTGACTGCAGGTTATGATACGCAGCGTTTATATCGATCGGTTGGTCACAGTGACACGTAAATACGTACGAACGACCTAGTGTCCTGATTCGCCCTGCTTCCCTGTCTACCCCAGCCAGTTGAGTCCAGAACAAAAGTCACAGCCTCTGAGATATGAATCATTATATTTCAAACACACTCTGTTTATATACTAACCAAGCAGATCACATCATACCATAAAAATAGGAAACAACATTTACACAATATTAAACAACTGAAGCAAATATCGACCAATAGGAAATGTACATTTAACGTCCAAGGACGCCATTCGACTTAACACGATAATTATTGGCATATTCCTCTGCATACCTAACAGTTACATACCAACGAACACATTTCACACACTTGAAATTGTTATTCCCTTTTTCACTGATCACCTTTATTGATATCCACCCTTTCGATGGGCCCTTATTATCTGCGGTCTTTTGCTTGCACCCTTATTAGTGTAAACCTCATGGTTAAATCGTCTCTTACAACTAAATCGTTTAAAAAAAGTGTTCTTAATCTTAACGTTGTTATTGTTCATTAAATACTCATTTATCTGTTAACTTGTTGAATTTATTTCATTTGTGGTTAAAAAGCGTGTTTACGTGAATACTATCATGACTTGACATCGAGTGGAGAATAAATAAAAAGTTAGTCAACATTAAACATCTGTTTCATTTTGACTTAATACGCTTCAATGGTGTACACTCCTAGCTTTCATGTTAAGCACAATACATTTAAACCATTAAATTAATATTTGATGGTTTGAACGTTTTCCACGTCATTTTGTATACATCAAACTTAATTCTGCCTGTTTCGCTTTGGGAAGCCGAATATTGATATTAGCTCTCACATTTGAAAATTGGCTCACATCAAAGCACCTAGCGAATTTAATTAAATTTCATTTTAATTAATAAATTATTAGTTCCGTGTGAAAAATTTACTTTTTTTTTCAACTTTATCCCTGTTTTACAGATGTTTTACATTATTACAAGAGAAGCTTTACGTTTACGATTAAATGCTGTACAAAAACAACAAGAAGCTCAACAGACCGTAGTTCAACTGACACCTATCTCCGGATTAAAATCAAAGCATAAACCGAAATGCTGTAAAGGATAACTACTTTTTCTGTCTATCTATGTCTTTCTTTTTAATCAAATAATTTGTTTATTGTTATCTATTATCATGATCCAGTTGTATTGAGACAGAAAATACCTCTGTTACAACAATACCTGCCGCTACTACTCACACTACTACTATCTCAATTTATTCAGTATCATTTTTTGTATAAAAATAAATAAAACTGGATGAACATGTAGGTGAGTGAGTGTGGACGGTAAGTGTTGTTGAAAGAATGATATCTACTGTTCTATTTTTTTCTGTCTCTTTCATCAATCAATTTTTTCTTCATTACAAAGTTGTCGTCCTCCATGAATGTGAATCTCAGACTATTGAATGCGTCGATTCCTGCTGATGGTAGGAAAACTCAAGCACAACAATACTTTTCTTTGGTTATTTTGTGTGTTTTTTTTGGACAAACTTATTTTGTAATTTTTTTTCCTTTTAATTCAATGATTTTTATATGATTATTAAAATTAACAAATTATTGCTCAATAATTCAAATTCATTCGTTACATAAAAGTATATTTATATAAGTGAGTATCATAGTATATGTCCATCGTTAGAGATAATTACGGAATAATTAATCGACGATTATTTAACAAATGGTTATTTTATTAATAGTTCTAATGCATTTTTGTTCTGTTGTTAATCTGTTATGATGATAATGATGGTGTTCTTTAGTGTGGATAATATTTATTTAAGGAGAACAATGCAAATCAACGAATCTTTATTTCATGTATAGACTATTCTATATTATTATTATTATTAATTTTATTATTATTGTTATTGGTATGCATGTTATGATTTAGTATATATTTTCTTCTTTTCTATAGAATTTAATTGAACCGATGATTTTGTTATGTTAGTTAATAATCTATTCTGCTGATGCCTTTCTCTGTTTTCTTTTTTAATATCTATTTATTTACATAATGAAAATGATTTATTATTTGTTATATAATTTCAATATATTATGGTATTCATTTGTATTTACTTTTCTTGATTAAAACGAACGGACAAGCATTGAAAAAAGTATCAGTTATACTTTTTATATGTATACTAATGTATTTGTGTAAAGTTTATGGATCAAAGTTAATAGTACTTTCTGAATGGTATACATCGGATGTATAATTAAGTAAAGAAATTGTTCCTTCACAAATTGAAGAAAATAATGAGTTTATAGTTGGTGTATTATGATCAGGATAACAGTTTTGCGTAATTTTAACACTTGATCAAGAATTGTCACTACTGTTGTTTATAGATAATTGTGATAAACAATTTAAGCACTTTTTACAGTTGAATCAGTTTCATAACTGATAAAATTGACTCATATTTAATTCCAACCATACTATCAGCTAATATGAATTCGTAATCTATAAAGAATTAGGCAAATCGACGCAAGAACTCGGAAAGTAAATGGTTCCTTGTCATTCTGGACGGTATCAGGGCAGGCAAATCGGTAAAACTATAAAGTTATCAGGAACCTAGTTATCTAGCTTCATAAATATTGTAAAAGTAATTTAATATCATTATAAAGTTAGACCAGTCTTCAACTCTCTATTTTAATCATTCTAAGTATGCTATTTAGTATGACTGATTCCATCGAGTGGTGATGAGTTCCCACGAAGATTACACTGATTTAGGCATAAAAGTTTGAATTCTCCAACTGAAATGTACTTAATACTGCTATATGTTGCTCTAACACTTCAATTTTTACCGGATTATCGTTGATGTAAGATAAATAAGCGTAACATTCTAATTAAATGCAAGTGTTGGTTCCAGTTCCTTTGGCTAATATACCGAATATTGAACCAGTGAAATAAGAGTCATTTCACGGAACAGTTTACTTCATATTTCTGCAGATAACTATTATATTGGTTGGTGGTTTTTTTTTGTTGTTGTTGATCTCACTAGCATTATTGTATTCATTTGATTTACATTAAAAACTATACATTGATTAAGTAACAAATTCATTTTCAAAGATTACAATGATTCATCAAAACAAAAATATAAATAATTTACAGCCAAGGTCAAATGATCATTCATTTTAACAAACTTCCACCAATAATAATAATCAATAATTGATTAAAATGCACATAAATATCATGCATAAATTGTTTGTAATATTGGTGCATTAATTGTTTAATATAAATTGTCAGTTATTATATTTTCAATTGATTGATTCATTTAATTATGGACATGGATTTATGTACTGTTCGAATGATCTGATGTTTATCAAATAAATAAACGAGTCTAATCGATTTTTTTTTCTCCAAAGAAAAAAAACGAAAGAAATTTGTTCCACTTGATAATTCTATTCGAATCGATTTTTTTTAAAAATAAATCCTGAAATGTTTAATTAATGTGTCATGTAAAAAGATTCATAGTTAACTATCGTTTTCTAGTATAATTTATTAAATAAAATATTTTGAAACAGTTACTGGTGTATTACTTACGCCTGTTACCCCTCGTGAAGGAGCATAGGCCGCTCACCAGCATTCTCCATCCAACCCTGTCCTGGGCATTACTGATGTATTATTTATTTCTTATTGTTTTAATAGGTAGATAATATATTTTAAATATTAGTAACTTACATAAATTCTCAGAAAATAAAATTCACTTGATATTGTTTTTACTTGAATATTCCCATTGATGTTTTAGGACTGAAATTGATCAGTCTCTTATTGGCATATGTGCATACTGTGCGTATGCCAATAAGAGACTGATCAATTTCAGTCCTAAAACATCAATGGGAAGATTCAAGTAAAAACAATATCAAGTGAATTAAACTTCACCCCATTGCACAAGCAAGTGGCTATGAGGACTCAGTAGCTAAGTGGATAACACGATGTCGTTTGAAGCGAACAGTACTGAGTTCGAGTCCCAGAGTGAACATCAACTCTGAGATGCAGGTAAATCCAGCTGACGAGTCCCAAACAGGACGAAACGCGCGTCCTGGATTCCACTGCTAGCCATTATCCATCTTTGCTTAGAAAATAAAATGTTTAAAAATGAAGAATATTTGAGCGAACAATTGTTTTCAATAATTTCATCATCAGGTTCTACAGTAGTTATAAGTCCATAATTATAATATTTTACAAAGGTCAAAATTAAGGCATGGCATTAATGAATTTGACAATGTTATGTATTAAAAAATAGTGCACATTTGCATCTGTTACGATATAAATATATACTTCAAAATTGTTCGCTTAAATATTCTTCATTTTTGAATATTCTATGGAGATTTTTAAACTGCTGAAAATAAAATGTGTATTAAATATCTGTAAACAGTTCATGTTAGGAAAGATAACTGCATAGAGTTATATCGACTTTTAATACATTGTACATATTATAAATGCAAATTTTGATAATGATTACTATACACATGTATAGTCCTTTCATGCAAAAAAAATCTATTAGGTGAAGTGTGAATATATACTATTTCGGTTGGTAATTATATTCTGATGAATCACTTCATTGTTTATATGAATGTCAGTGTGAAATATTTTCGATTATAAAATCAGTACTAATCACCCTGGACTGTTTAGCAGTTTCTTGTTTGTTTGTTGTTGTTTTGTTTTTCTATATAAATAAAGACCGTACTACCGCTCTGCATCTGTCATTCGAATTGTTTTATACATGAATACACTGATTCATGTCATTTTAGAGTTTTTAGTACTGATTTCTGTTAAATGGTTCCAAGAGGCATTACAGTATTTTCTAAAATAAAAATACTGAACAAACTATACAGATCTAAATGGTATTAAGTTAGTAACAAAATACATTCACAGTAATTAGGCTAGACGTATCACGAAAGTTCTAAGCAAATTTCATTAATGATTCGGTGGATTTTCCTAACATTATAGTCTGATGTAGACAGAATATTTGTTAGCTGGATAGGGTCCTAACTATTCATGCCAAGATCGAACCCAAGTTGGGATACACTGATTGGTCCATTTCCAAGTGTTCGTTACTAACAGATTGTCATAAAGTATTATTTCTTACTCGATGTGTTATATGGTCATATATTTGAAGTATATTACTGCATATGTTCTGTGTCATAATTGAATTACGTACGGTAGAGAATTAATCCGTCTCCTATTTGGCTACTGAATTAGGAGGGACTCGAGGACCAGTAGGCGTTAAGACGTTCATTGTTGTCAATTCGTGAAATAGAGGGTCACTGGTCTATAGGTGGGTTAATCAAACCTCTAGTCAGAACAAATTAGCAATCTCAAAACAACATAGATGGGATAAAAAGATACTGGAAAATTCTCCCATAAATTGTATATAGTCGCTTTTGTTATCACTACTGTATCCCTCGTTCGGACCTGTTGGACTGTATATCGTTCTCTCTCAATCTTTTTGTACGGGACAAGTTGAGTGACTAACAGTGTTCAAGGAATGCCTGGCAGTGGCTAAATTAACACTATTGCTGCTCAAGTACCCTTCTCATTGAGTTGTCGTTATTGTGATTTCTGGTGTCTTATCCAAATTCATTAGATATTTATTAAACTGATTTTGGTTTCCAGCATATTGTAGCGACATTGTCGTAGGTGATTACAATAAAAAAAACTGACCGGAAAATCAATGTTGACTTGTCCTATGGCAGAATAAATTGTTCAGAAATGTGATTTTTTATACCACATAGCATGAATTAGAATCTGGGGTCAAAAACCTAACTAATCTGATGGCCTAAAATATTGATTTCTAGGTTAACCAGTTCTTGTCAGATAGAAATTTCATACATAGAACAACTAATGGAAGAAATAATATGCTGAGCTAAATAGTTAGTGATACTATCACTAAGCTCAGTAACATATAGAACGTATGGGAAGATTTCATGTGATACGAAATGGTAATAGGAAGTCAAGTGATGAGAAAAGAATATAAATGAACATAATGTGGCTTTTAAGTACTCATGTTTGTGTAGATCATGACAGTTATTATAAAACAATATTAATAAATTTATAAATGTATTGCACAAAGTGAAATTCGATGAAACAAGCCCTCACAATCAATGGATTGAGAATGCTCAAATTACATGATAATCATTCAGAATGTTTAACCTCTATAACAAATAAATAAACCCGCTTTATTTTTTCAGTGACATTTTTATTTTAGAAAAGACAAGCAACCTGTTCTCCGTCAACAATTCGTTATTCCAAATATAATTTTTAATGACAAGTTTAGTTATCGTTAGATTTAGTTTGGCATTTTTATTTCAAATAATCGTGTTAAGAAGAAAATTGTCGAGTTGCCTGAAATGAAACGAAGTCATACGATTTCTGAGTACAAACAGAATTTTTTTGTTATACATTATTTTAGCCAGCGACTAATTCTCAGCTTAAATAGAACATTTAATTTACCGCGGAATTAATAAATCAACACAATGTTAATTTGCGCCATACATGTGATTTTATCCGTTTAAAGTATGGTAACTTCATTTATTTTCAAATCTACTTACCGATCGAGTTATTAACTTAATTTATCCACTTTTTTTGAATAAACAACTCCAAGTGATTTATTTCACCTTATTCTCAATTATTATTCACCTTGATCAGTGTCATCATTATTAGCATGCAAGGGATCAATATTTCAAACCCGATTCTTAGCAGAAATTATTAGAAGCAACAGCTTGCTGTAAGCATTATAAATACTCGGGGACGATGCTTTTTCACCATTTCATACTATAATAACATTTACCCCAAAATATGCTAACCTGGAAAAGTATTTTAATCTCTGCCGTCGTAGTTCAAAAATACTCATTTAGAGTAATCAAACCATCATTCTAAACAAAGAAGGAGGGAATCACAATCAATGTTATCCACTGTCATGCACCCACAGATGGTAGCAATGAACACGATAAAGACCAGTTTTATAAGAGGTGGCAGTCGATCGTAGAGAGGTGACCGGAAAAGACTTGACCGTCAACATCATAGGAGACCTAAATGCCAAAGTCGGGATGGACATCATTAGTTATGAAAATATCACGGGACGACATGGACTGACTGAGAGAAACGAACGAGAATGGTGAAGGATTTGCGAATTCTGCGGACATTCAACAAAATGGTTATAGATGTCGCTATATTCCCCCACAAACCCATACACGATACTACATGAGTTTCACGGAATCACTCTACAGAGAACCAGATAGATCATATTTGTATCAATAAAAAATTCAGATCTGTGGAAGAAGTGAGAACATTGGGAGGAACTGACATAACTTCAGATCATCAGCTGATTCTGGCCAAGGTAAAACTACATCTAAATAAGCACTGGACAACTGGATAAACACCACTACAAAAGTTTAATACAGCCTTCCTTCGAGATTCCGACAAACTCTGCGAAATCAAGATAGGCCTCATTAGCGAGTTCCCAGCCTTACGAGATCTACTCAAAGAGGGGGAAACTACAATGGAGAAGTGGGAAGGGATCAAAACGCGCCAACTTCAACGTGCCACAAGGTGACAGGCCGCAAGAAGCACCATCATAAAAAGTGGAACTCTACCGATACCCTGGACAAGGTTCAAAAATGGAAAAACAAGATAGCAATCAACAACAGCAAAGTCATGCATGATTTACGTGATAAGACCGTCAACATAATCTGGAATCCATGCGACGGACTACACTGCGAATTCGTGCATGGAGGACAGCTGACAGATGCAATTCAAATAAAGATCAGTGTTAGACAAGGCCGCTTACTAACTCCCCTTTTGTCAAGACAGTTCTACTGTATGCAGCTGAAACTTGGACAACTACTACAACCATCATCAGAAAGGTACAAATATTTATAAACAATTGTCTACGCAAGATAATCGATGTCCGTTGGATGGATACCATCAGCATCAGCCTACTGTGGGAGAGAATAAATCAGCTTTGACTTGAAGAGAAAATTAGGAAAAGACGATGGAAGTTGATATGACATACACTGAGGAAATCATGAGACTGCTTCACGAGGCAAGCACTAACTTGGAGTCCTGAAGGGAAACGGAAAATATGAGGGGCAAATGACACGTTACGTCGAGGATTGGAAGCAGATATGAAAAGGATGAATAGAAACTGGAAAGGACTGTCCAGGACAATGTTGGCTGTAGAGTGCTGGTGGGCGGCCTATGCTCCTCCACGAGGGATAACAGTAGATGTGGCGATTTCTCTAGCAAATATACATTCAAATAACATGCAATATCTAACTTCATTTATTTTAATAATAAGTATATTTTTTGTTATATTCCAATCAGTTGAAAATTAAATAACCGGCTATTTATTTACTCTGAAGTGCTCACATTAAGTCACGAAACGTCAGAAATACAATTCTCAACTAATTGAAATATATATAAAAAAACATTTTTATTATCAACTTCTCACCTAATGCTCAATTTGTTTAAAATTATCAAGTCCAACCTTGGCAAGGTACCTATAAATTTATGTATTTTAATCCGTATTAGAATTTCTTTAACCGACCGAATTAATATCTAATAAAAAAGCATTATAGTCTATGATAGAGATTACGTGGTCATTCACTGGAATTCATCGAATTTACAGGCGATAAGTTTTTTGTTATCGCTCATGCTGAAAACTCCAAAGCAGTAGATAATTAGCTGAAATTTTAGAAATTCGACTACTGGGCTTCGTTTTGAAATGATCTGTACATCTCTAAATGCAGAAAGCTAGGTGGTTATAATACAAATGCATAATGAAATACTAACTAGATGAAGTTGTACTTTGTCAGTGGGCTGAATCATCTAGGTAGGAATTTCTTGGTTGCTTTTATGATTCCGAATCGTAATGTAATCCAATTAAAAAGCTCTTGAACACTAGTATGGGACTCTTCAGTAGTTCTCCCTCGTTTACATTGGTGAACTGATTGCTGCGAAGCGATGTTCAATACCAATTCAGAGAAAAAAGAAATATGGTAAGACTAATCATAATGGTTGTTTTTGCTGAGTCAGCAGTAATAAAACCTAATATCATCGAGGCACATCACACAACTAAATCGAAATAATTTTCTAAGCTAGAAAGCTATATTTAGTTACAAACGAGTAATCAAGCTAGTGATTGATGTATTATAATAATGAATATCAATAGCACTAAACAATCGGCTAGTCACAATCAACACCAAACAGTGAATAATGGATAACTAGGGTCATCAGAGTTTATAATATGTAAATTCTTTAAAGGTGCTTCCTGAGTCAGCTGAACATTTAGAAAGCATCAAATCAATATAAAGAAAACAAACATTCGGATATCAGCTGAGATAATGAGTTATCAATATTATTCAAAATATTAGACTTAATATCTACCACTATAGATTTTCTCAAAACAATCAATATATTGAGTTACGGTTTGTATAATTGGTGATTTAATATTCTATTGGGATTTACTATTAAAAAGACTACTTTCCTAGTCTTATCTTTTTATCCGATTGATTTGGACGTTGGATGACCGAATTGGCATTGATTTAATTTCATTGTAAATAAAAAAAATAATGTTATACAAAAAGAACTGGCAGATTTTCGTGATTTAAAATATCAACGGACAGCATAACTTTTCGAATTCGAACAACTGATTACCAGAATTATAATGAAACTGTGTAAACCATGTAGACTTTATTCAGGTTGTTTTATCAAATTTATAGGTTTTAGTGACAATTACTTATAAGTTCTTAGACATAGATACTAATCAGACGTAAAGTATATCGTCAATGAAGTCGCGCTCGGATACTAACTCAATGTACGGGTGAACTACACTAGGAAATAACTAACTTTTGTGATAGCCCCTGTACTTACTGTACATTTCCAAATGTGATAAAGATTTCTGTTTACAATTCGAAATATATTGTTCAATTATGCTCCCCTAAGACTATCAGTCTTTATTATATACAGGCAAGACCTTGTTAAGATGAAATACTTAATCAATTGAGTTATCTAGTAGAAAAACATCATTCATGCAAATAATTCTGATGCTTCCCTTAGTTGTAGCTACTAAACGCTTCTTTTATATGACAGAAAACAAAAACTTAAACAATGTTCAACAGTCACAAGTGGACATTAGTTGTAGTACCGACAAGCAGATTGATTAGACCATGGGGTTTTTGATGCTTGACTATTTATACGAGTATAGTATTTTGTGAAATACTTGCCATCTCATCAAATTTATGTGAGGGCTGTGATGCTGTCCGGGTGCCCAGACCGAAGCAGGTGGTTTTCTTAGGGGGCCACATCTGAAGCCTTTGACCTAATGGTCTGATACATAAGGCAGTGGAGCATCGTAAGGCGATGCAGTCCCACGGTAACCGGTGACCAACGATTGGTTCATACGCCATTTGTTCCCGCAGGATACTGGAGCCCATGTGCACTATTGGTTTGAAATCAGGGTTTCCCAACCCTCCTAGGTGGACTCTCCGTGTCCGTGCTCGACTAAAGAAACTAATAGTCACATTCTCTGTAATATCTAGTAACGACATATTAACGTCTCTGTCTTAAGAGAAAATAATTGAAAAGCCTAGAAAGATACGGTTGATAACTGAGTAAAAATAACGCAGTTAACCAAGTAAAACATCATAATAGACTGTGAACTCTATTTTCTCAAAAATCAATAGCAATTTTTATCTAGTGTAAAACTAGATCAATATTATGACTTTTCTGTGTTACCACAGTAACACTTACTATTGTGACCCGTCATACTTTAGTATTATTGTGACACTTGCAATATAGGAACGCCACGTAATTTCACACCTAGTTCCATTGATTACTTTGCCTTGCAAAATAATATACATACTGAGATGTTTACTTATCTCACGATCTTCACGTGAGACATCAGAGCTCCTTAGAAAATGATATTCGTATACAGTTTATAAATATTAAGGCGTGATCTTATACCAGTCGTTCAGTTTACCAGGTAGCATAGATGTTCGTAACAGAAGAATCCATATTCGTCCTTACTTCTGACGTTAGCATTATAAAAAACACAACTTAATTATTTGGAGTAAAACAATAAGAATGAAATATTAATCAATGACAGCACTGTAAGGTCTCTCTATCTAACAAGTAGGTTATATAAATATATTTAGTATCTGCTGTTATAACAGTAGATACCAAATACAGGATCCGTGACAACGCTTCTTTTGGTAAATTTGTTCACACGAAAATAATATACAAAGTTTGTATATTTTTAGATATAAATCACCAAATGATCGGGGAATAAATATAATAATAACAATGTACACATTGAAAAATTTAACTACGGCATAAATTTAAAAAAATCGACGCCCAGAATTATTTGATGAACTAGATGGTGGTCCAGAAGTGTTTGAATGTCCATGTGAAGAAGGTATGTTATTTGCTGACATGACAAGTTTATTTAATTGTTGTTGTTGTTGTTGAAAAGCAGCGGCTAGAGTTGCAGATGTTAGATAGTTTAATGAGCTTAGATCAGTTGGAAATGGAGTTAGTCCGGGATTCAAAGCAATAGAAGAGCCAGTATTCGATATAGATGGTGAAATTGTTGAGTTTGAAGCTATTGATGTAACACCGGACGAAGATGAATTGAATTGTATAGATGTACTTGTATTGTTATTAACTGAATTTCTTAAAGAATTATTTTCTATATGACGACTACCTGTAAGACATTTACCAGTATTAGTTAAAGTAGGTGCGTTGTTATGAGATGATGTAGATGTTAGATTTAGCATAATGAGATTATTTGCATTAATTTGTTGTTGATTAGTGAACCTTGCTCCTTGGGTTGATGAAATATTAGCAGTATAATTAGGTGTCAGTAACTAGGAATGAATAAAAAGCATGAAAATATATAAGTATTAAAACATATGAAGCAAATATTAAATGTATGCACTTCGAATACCTATACTCAAAAGATCATCCGTGCAGAGTCCTAATATAAATAAGTTTAATAAACAACATAGCCCTGAAGATAATAGGCTATGAATGAAACTTGAATAAACAGAGTTATTCAGATTCATAAATAAACGATCATCAAATCTCAAACCGCACAGGCGAGAAATCCGAAAGATAAATCAAATGTGGGTATACTAAGTATTATATATATATATATATATATATATATATATATATATATATATATATATATATTATGAGTATCAAATTAAATGTCTTTAGGATATGAAGTAATGGTAGTGTGAGACAACAGGAAAATGTCAACCAAATACCCAGACCTCGTATAGCACTTGAGTTCATCTAATGGGTCACCGATTCTACTACGGATTTTCTTTGTTCTTCCCTACCACCAATGTCAACGTTTTTGTATCACATTTCTTCTGGGACTTGTGAAATGGTATCCGTGGTTTCTTGAAACCATGATCTTAATCCTGTGCCTATTTGAAAGGAAGTACCAAATTATTTATCTAATGCACAGAGATACTGATACAATCAGACACTAAAATAAGAATGCGATCGAGGGAGAAATGTTGAATTTAGGCATAGGGTATTTGGCAAAGATGGAAAAATAGTTGATGAGGTTATTAATATACATAAAGATAGTTAGGACATGTGTTACGCATGTCTAACCACCGGCTACTTTGACGAGAGATGTTTTCCAATATAAGAGTAGGTTTGGAGAAATCTAAGGGTAGCCAAACCAAAATATGGCGCCAGTTTTTGAAATTATTGACTGTTGGTCTGAGCCACGTCGGCAGATGCAGGCTACCTGGACAGGGTCTGGATAATAATCGTGATCAGCAGTTGAAAACTTCGGATGAGATGGCTGAGAGTCATTCACAGTACTGTAGTACATTTACTTTTCATTTTCTTCTCTATCTTGAATTTCAGTATTCATTGATACATGCCTTTCCAATCTGTATTTTAGAATCTTAGTCTAAATGCTTAATCTTTTTCAACGTCGTTGTCATTTATATATTTTGCTATTTATCTTGTTGACTACATCTCGTCGTTCCAATATATGGCAACTTGTGCCAATACACATGTGTCAGGCTGTAGGATGATGACTGACTGAATGACCCCGTGAAAACTCCGAAGGATTGGATACTACACTGTCTCTCTACGCTACCAGTAACTGTACTTCGAAATAAAAGGCTAAAGCTACTGTTTATTCGACAGTTTGAATCTTCTGATTATTAACATTAAGGACTACATTGAGTCAGTTCCCACTAGCTCCCATTACCTCAGAGTTGCCTTCTAGGTGTACACAGTGTGATTAAATGCAGTCTTCAATACCAACAACGGGGAGATTTAAACCATAATAGATACAAAAAGACTGTATCTGAGTTGACCACTTAATGATAAAAATGTTAAAAGTACATTTAAGGGAGAACTATCTAAAGGCTTAATGAGACATGCAGAAAATTCCCAGCCCTAGGTAATCTGGTGTTATCTTCATTCCACTGAATAAATAGCAGAGTGAGCAAAATGATTGTAAGTGTTTATGGATTTCAATGTTTTAAAAACTAATAAATTGTTAAAAAATTAAATGTAAACTGACGAATGATTACACAATGAATGGTCAGCGGTATGGCAGAAAAACTTAGTGGTAAAGACAGAGATGATAGTTATATGTGTAGCGATGTCCAAATTTCAAAATTCAGCAGTTTGTCCCTTAATCATCTAATACTAAGTAGATCACTGATTTTATCACTTGCATGTTCTTTTATTGTTGCGCTGATATGAATTGAACCATATTGGGTCGAAACACAATCTCATTATTCTATATTCCTTTTGTCCGTAATTTATTATTGGCATAAATCGGGAAAGTTTATTTCAGGCAAAAGTTAGTTTAAGATATTATGGGGTGTAATACCATATACGATTGAATCTAAAAAAGTTGGTTTTTATGTTCAAACCTACTAAACTAACACTAATTGGCATCTGTAGCAAGACTTGAGGGTATCAATTTTGATGAAAATGAATTCGTTTCTTAATGATTCTTCGAAAGGCATCGTTCAGGAATAGAAATTAAACCTGCTGGAAGATATGAACAAGCAGCTTTAGGGCGAAGTTTCCAGTAATTAGTTGCTTGAAGAGACAATAGCCAACATAAAAGGCAAGCACAAAGCCAGGTAAATAAGTTCGAACAAATAAACTGTGGAAATGAACTCACATGTGAACCTTCCATATTTTGTGCACCAGAAGGACCACGTGCTGAACTGTAATCAACCTGTGTCATATACTTCGACAAGTTATGCTGTTGCTTTTGATGAGCTTGCTGTTGAAGTTGGATTTGCTGAGCAGATTGCCCAGTAGTAATGCTTCCTCTATAACTGATAGGGGCTGGTGGTAGTAAAGGGCTACCAGATATAGGTGTTGATGAAGGAGTAGAAGTAGTTTGAGAAATATCCAAATCTGAAGTGTTACCACTCAGTAATGGAGATATTAGAGGATTTGAAGCATTCAGTGAACGTAGAATTTGATGAGCTTTCTGTAATTGTTGATTACTGGGTAAGACATTTTGTTGGTTTATGTGATTTCCACTATTGTTATTGTTGCCCGCAGCAGCTGCTGCTAGTTGAGCTAAGCACACTTTTGCGGTATCTAGTGTGGAGCTGGTAAAATCAAGATCTGCAAAAACAAAGTAGAATCAGGAGGTAGATACGTTTGGTTTATATGGAGTTTAGTGTGATTCCTATTACTAACTTATATTATTACAATTCATGGGACTGACACATTCATTAGGAATTACTGATACAAATATACTGGAAATATTGAGCCAAAAATGACTAATAAGAAGTCAATATTCGACTGAATTGGGGAAGGTCGACAAATGAATGTCAAACTTTTTTCAACTGCCCAAAATTCAGAGCAAAGCTGATCAATATGTTATTTCTGAACAGAAATTTTCGCCAAACTATAATCTTACTTTTCCTTAAGAAAACTCATTTTCAGCTTGCTCATGTTTTAAGTGAAAGCCAACTGACAAAATAATAAAATCTTATCGGTCAGATTATAGCTGACTGAATTGATTTAACGAGTGAGTGATTTTTCTATTAAAATAAGCGTGAGAAAAGCAAGCAGAATAGTTAATTTTTTCACCGGCGACAGTTAAATATATTGTAGTAAACCATCAGGATGATTTATTAATTTACTGAAAGTAAGCGACAAAAAATGCTGGGTAGGAGGAGTCTTTCATCATGGAGACTTAATTCACAGTATATAAGTATAGCAGTGACTTCGCGGTTAAGACGTTCGACTCTCGGTCACTTTGTCCTCATTCAACTTCGGTTTGGGCAACCGAGTGATAGCATTAGCCTCAATACTTAGTGTGGTTTATTAACAAGTACCTGGTGAATGAGTTCACTTTTTAAAAACTCATTTTTCTTTTGCAGAATGAAATAAGCATAATGTATAAACATTTAAAATTCAGTTCCAAAATGAATATCTCAAACATATCTGATGATGTTGGATTATAAATGCTTGAAACTTAGTCATGTTTTCCGCTTAAACTGTGTAGGATATAACTTTTTGTGAAGTCAGACAAAGTGTCACATTCATAAGGAAATTCATGACCATAAGTGAATGCTTATTCAACTTACTAGGATTATGATGAATGGATACTGCAGGATTCTTGGACATATTGGCTGACTGAATTACGTTTTGATGATAAGATAAGTTTGAGTGCATGTTTCCCGATGAAAGTGCTGTCATAGTGTCACGGTTTTGATGACCATCTGGGACGGAAGGAGATGCACGACTGCTGAATGTAAAATTTGGGACCAAATTTCCACTTGATATTGGCGGTGGATTCGATGATAGATGTGCTGGGAGGGAACATAATCCTGACGCAGCAAGAGCAGCGACAACTTCAGCAAGACTAACAGAGGAATTGGGATATGCTATTCCTAAGGAATTTCCTGCAAGGGAAGATGAGTTCGCCAAGGAAGCAATCACATTGAAATATGCAGCTGCGGCGGCTGTGGATGGAAAACCCTGCGAATATAATAAGTAGCTGTTTACAATTGAGCTTCATGGACGCCCAGTTAAAAATACAGATTTTCAACAACAATTAGGTAAGAATAATTATAAATATAAAGAATATGAATATGTGTAGACTGAGAGATTGCTTTGGGATAGTTTTTTCGACTAAGAAACCGATACTTTCCAACCAAGATGTATTACATACATCTAAGAAGACGATGAGTTTGGAAAATGATGGATCAGATGTGGGAATGTATAAATTGCTGACGTAACCACGACAATACTATTATACGGTGAGTTAGATTTCTATGTATTTGATTCGGGTAGGAAATATGTTTCATGAATGAGAAACAAAAGTAACCTGATATAATTATACATCTGACTACCGTAAATGAGTATGAAATAAATAACAAAAATAAGACATTAGGGAGACATAAGTGAGTAAACAGGGAGTTAATAATTGGAATACAATACAGCCTCTGCCAGGGAAGTCCTACTCACTGCATTCTCGTGGCGGGGGTGTTGTTTACGAAAATGAGAGGAAGAAAAGCGAATGTCCGGCGCTTTAACCGGATCCCAAATCAATGGTGCACATGGGCCCCAGTATCCTGCGGAAACAAATGGCGTATGAACCAACTATTGGTTACCGGCTACCATGGTACTGCATCTCCTCACGATGCTCCACTGCCTTGTGGATCAGACCTTTAGGTCAAAGGCTCGGGGTGTGGCCCCCTAAGATAACCACCTCCTTCGGTCTGGACACCCGGACAGTATCACAGCCCACACACAAATGATGAACTGCTTATAATTAAGAAAACTACTTTACCTGCTTCAACTAACAATCAAATGATTCGAGTGATTATTATTATTACTATTATTGTTATTATTATTATTATTATTATTATTATTATTATTATTATTATTATTATTATTATTATTATTTACTATACCATTATCCACCCTCTTTTATTCCTACTCTTTCTATACTTATTTTTTCGACTTATAGAGCAGCTCGCCTATGATGGAAATTCGACTCTATCTAAATGTTCTCGAGTCACTGTTCGGTTGAAAATTGTATGTTACCACCGAATATGAGTACTGAAGCAGTTTTTCTGAAACCACGTGCACCATTCAAACTGGCTGCCTTCAACGTTCGCACACTTATGCAGGTCGTACGACAGATAGGGCTGGCTATATTCCTCTCGTGACAATCACAGAGGAATCAGTTTGACAAATATAGTGTCTAAACTGACTGAGGTTTTAGGTAGAATTTGGGAACTGGACGCAATCCCATCTGACTGGTCTCAATTACTGATTGTGCCAGTCTACAAGAAAGGACAAAAGTCCTCTTGTGACAATCACAGAGGAATCAGTTTGACAAATATAGTGTCTAAACTATTAACCTCAATAATACTTCGACGCCTAACCAAAGCTCGTGAAGAGTAAACTAGAGAAAATCAGTCCGGTTTTCGACCTGGACTTGGTTGTATAGATCAGATATTCACACTACGTCAGGTTCTAGAATACAGACACACATTCAGACGCCCCACAATGGTAGTATTTCTTGACCTCAAGGCGGCATTCGACTCTGTTGATCGTAAGGTTCTATGGCAGCGATTGTCACTGAAAGGAGTACCAAAGAAGTACATTAACCTTATTCAGGCTCTCTACTCGAACACAACTGGTAGAGTGAGAGCTTATGGCGAACTGTCATCAGAATTGATTACCTCAAGTGGTGTTCGTCAGAGTTGTCCACTCTCTCCATTCTTGTTCAACTTTGTCATTGACGTACTTTTAGAGATAACACTTTCCTCATCTAGATTTCCAGGGGTTGAACTTCTACCAGGAGGTTCACTTGTTGACTTAGAATATGTCGATGACATAGTTTTATTTGGCAAAGACGCTGACAAAATGCAGAGTCTTCTGACCACTCTAAGCAACAATGCAAGCATGTTCGGGATGCGATTCTCGCCCTCGAAATTCAAAATGTTGCTTCAGGATTGGGTTGCATTGACACCCGAACTAATGATAGGAAGTGAAGTAATTGAGCGCGTCGATCACTTCACTTATCTTGAAGTCTCATCAGCCCTTGTGGTCTGGTGTGTGACGAAATCTCAACATGGATACAGAAGGCTCGACTAGCTTTTACCAACTTGCGTCATTTATGGCGTAGGCGAGATATCCATCTATCAACCAAAGGACGTGTTTACTGCGCAGCAGTTCCTTCCGTCCTACTTTATGGCAGTGAAACATGGCCGGTAAGAGTAGAGGATATTCGTAGACTACTAGTATTTGATCATAGATGTCTTCGAAATATTGCTCGTATATGCTGGGACCACCGAGTAAGTAATGCAGTTGTTAGGAAACGGGTACTAGGTAAGGATAGCAAATCAATTGATGACGTGGTGAAACTCCATCAGTTGAGATGGCTGGGACACGTGTTACGTATGCCCCCAAATGCCCTGGTACGGCCGAAAGTGGGGAGAGTCCGCTCTCCCTCTCGAAATACTCTCACACGGCCACGCGTATATAGCCTCTGCCAGGGAAGTCCTACTCACTGCATTCTCGTGGCGGGGGTGTTGTTTACGAAAATGAGAGGACGAAAAGCGAATGTCCGGCGCTTTAACCGGATTCCAAACCAATGGTGCACATGGGCTCCAGTATCCTGCGGGAACAAATGGCGAATGAACCAATTGTTGGCCACCGGCTTCCATGGGACTGCATCTCCTTACGATGCTCCACTGCCTTGTGGATCAGACCTTTGGGTTGAAGGCTCGGGGTGTGGCCCCCTAAGAAAACCACCTGCTTCGGTTTGGGCACCCGGGCAGTATCACAGCCCTCACACATATCGGATGAGATTTGTGTGGCGCATATGTATTTGGTGCCTCTTTGTACCATTATCTATGTGTTGAAATAAATAAATAAATAACCACCGACTGCCTCGACGTGCAATGTTCAGTGGTATAGGAGTAGACTGGAAGAAAGCTAGGGGCGGCCAGAACAAAACATGACACAATTCCATGAAGTCACTGACAAGTGGTCTGGATCATGTTGGTAGGTGTAGACTACCTGGTTGGGGACCGCGAGATGATAGCAACCGATGGTTAGAGACCCTGAATGACATGGCTCAAAATCGTTTGCAATGGCGCAGGTGCATCCACTCTTTGTGTTCTCCCCAATTTTGATCGCCTTATTCCTCCTTCTCTTTTTTTTCTCTTCCCAAATTTATTTCACTGGATTATACTCCTTAAATAACATCTCCAAACACTAATCTTCCCGATTACTGCTTATACTCTTATTACCTCTACCACTACGGTATTTGAATTGACCACTGCATCTCTGTGCTAATGTCGTGTGGCAGCTCGAACTGATGTACGTACGTACGAAGTTCTACGTTGATACTGACTGACTGAGGGCTGGCTATGTCTTTAGAAAGTCTTAATATCGATGTTTGCTGTCTGTCCGAGACCCGTATTCAAGACTCTGGCGAAGTACTACAAATTCGCTATCGATCTGTCGCTTCGAAAGGCTTGTTTTACATGCGTTTATCCGGGGACCCTGTGGCATCTTCGTCTAGTTTTACTGGCGTTACTGTCGAACTAAGCGCTAGAGCTGAGGTAGTACTAGTTGATTGGATCCACATTAACAGTCGGTTATGTGCTGTTATATTAGAGAGTACCATCAAAGTGAGAATAAATCGGCGTGAGAAACGATGTCTTTACGTCATCTTCGCCTATGCGCCGACAGATTGCAGCCCGGATACAATCAAGGATGAGTTTTACCACCAGTTATCTGTTCTTCTCCAGAAAGTGCGTTCGACAGATATTGTAGTACTAGCCGGAGACTTGAATGCTCAGGTTGGGCGTCTAGGCACAGAAGAGAGTCGTTTAGGTGGCCGATGGGGACTCGTTGGTCGCAGGTCAGATAACGGGAACCGTCTACCGCAACTTTGCACAGACCACAACCTGTTTCTGGTTAGCACTAACTTTCGGTACAGTCATCGCCGATGTCTACTCCAGGTGACCGTGAGTTTGACCACAAACGACGACTGCTACGTAATGAGATCGGGAAAAGCTGGCGTAAGGACCGAGAAGCCTGGTGGTAGGAGAGTGCTAATGAGGTGGAAGCAGCAGCTGCATCTGGTAATTGCCGGAAGCTCTTCCAGCTCAACCGAGCCAATGGCAGCAAGAAGTCTGGTGTGAGCGAAACAATCTACGAGGATGACGGGATGCCAATCACTAACATCCATCAACGTCTTGGACGATGGGCAGAATTTTTCGAAGGGCAGTTCAATTGGCCTGTTGCTCCGGCAACATCGGTCAGACTGTCCTGCCCTCCGTGGCCGGTGACTACTGGTCCACTAAATGAGGCGGAAGTCCACAAGGAACTCCAACTCTTGAAGCATTACAAATCACTTGTCCCAGATGACTTACATCCGGCTCTTTTTAAAGATGGTGGTGACTTTCTGACTAGGGAATTGACGACGTTGTTTACAAAGGTTTGGGAACTAGAGAGTGTGTCAACGTCATGGACTGAGTCGATAGTTGTCCCTATCTTTAAAAAGGGTTCACGTCGTTCCTGCAACAACTATCGGGGGATACGTCTACTTCCGATTGCGTCCAAGCTATTGGCTTCCGTCATACTTCGTAGGTTGTACAAAACTCGAGAAAGATTGACTCGCGAGGAGCAGGCTGGTTTTCGTTCCGGTCGACGATGTATTTATCATATCTTCACCCTCCGCCAAATGTTAGAACACCGCCATACTTATCAAAGGCCAACAATCGTAGTGTTTCTTGACATCAGGGCTGCCTTCGATTCGTTGGATAGGATTGTTCTCTGGGATTGTCTATTGAAGAAGAGTGTGCCTGAGAAGTTTATTAACATCCTAAAAGCCCTATGTAAAAACACCTCAGGCAGAGTGAGGGCATACAACCACCTCTCTCCATTGTTCCATTCGAGCATTGGGGTTAGACAGGGTTGCCCAATCTCACCATTCCTCTTCAACTTTGCCATTGATGACATTCTGGAAACAGCTCTGATGGATGTAAGTAATGGTGGTGTGGATCTGTTGCCTGGAGAAAGACTTCTCGACCTTGAATATGCGGACGATATTGTCTTACTGTGCGATAATGCCCAAGGCATGCAATTCGCACTTAATCAGTTGGCAATCAGTGTCCGTAGGTATGGTATGTGCTTTGCACCTTCGGAGTGCAAAGTACTTCTACAAGACTGGCAGGATTCCAATCCTGTACTCACCCTGGATGGTGAGCAGATAGAAGTAGTCGAGAAGTTCGTGTATCTAGGTAGCTGCATAAGTGCTGGTGGTAGTGTGAGTGATGAGATCAATGCACGTATAGTGAAAGCCAGACCGGCTTATGCCATACTGGACCATCTTTGGCGCCTTCGTGATGTTAGTCTGGCTGTCAAAGGTTGGATCTACAACGCGTCGGTAAGAGCGGTTCCGCTCTATGTTTGAGAAGATTGGCCTATCCGAGTTGAGGACGTTAGACAACTTTCTGTGTTCGATCATCGCTGTCTCCGAAGGATTGCTGACATCCAGTGGCAACACCATGTTAATAATGCAGAGGTTCGGCATCGTGTGTTCGGACGCAGAGACGATAATTCAATTGGTGTCACCATCTTGAAACACCGACTTCGGTGGCTTGGACATGTTCTCCGAATGTCGTCCCAGAGAATTCCACGTCGTGCATTATTTGCCGACGCCGGGACTGGTTGGAAAAAGCGGAGAGGTGGTCAGTGCATGACATGGTGTCGTGGCATGAAAAAAACTGCAAAGGACTGGCTTGTGTTGGTCTTTCACGACTCCCTGGTTGGGGTCCCAGAAATGGTGCTACACAGTGGCTAGAGACGTTATCAGATATGGCTCATCATAGAAGCCAGTGGCGATCCTGCTGTAACCTTCTTTTACTTTCTTCGTAAAAAGTGGTTTTATCTTCCTTAACTAAAAGATTTCTTCTGATTGTACCTTTCCGTTCCCCCATTACTATCTATCATTACTACACTCCCTTACACCAATCTCTTCGTTATTGTTCTCTTTTTTTTGCGCTCCTTACTTTTTTCTTTCTTTCTCTTCGAATTCTCATTGTTTTGTGTGGCGCATATATATTGGCGCTCTCTTGTACCAATATTTATGTGTTCAAATAAATAAATAAACGGTCCTTAACATTTAGAGAAACACCATTGGGGAATGCAATCAAACTTTGAATACTTCCATAAAATGTTCTGGTACGGTAGGTGAAGTAGAATGCATTTAATCCTGAAATAATTTGACATGGTTACATTTTATTATTACTTTCATGTTTTATTGTATAGTCTAGGGGGACATTTAGCTTTTCAGCTTGATCGGTAAACAGAACATGTTTATAGAATTTAGAGACCCTCGATGCCAAAATGGAGTTGTAAATGGGCTTCAGGATCTTAAAATAACGAATCCCATCAAACCCTACACATGAAATTCCTTAACTCGGATTTGAATTAAACCTAGCAGTTATAAAACGGTCTCCGAAAATCGGGACAAATGCACTTCAAAAATTCATCCATATTCGCTCCAAGAATTCAAGACCAACAATTTTGTCGGTATATTTGTTATGTAGAATTATGTCACTGGGTACGGCAGGTTGATAGGTAAGGAGATAAATTTTTGAGAAGCAACGGGACTTGATCAATATCAAACCCGTCAGGGACAATAGTACTCACACAAAAAAAGTTTATGTCATAAACTATTCTATTCCCTTTCAAAAAAGTTATCCAATAATAATTTTCGGTATGACAGGGCACTAAAAACAATAAGCCATAGAAAGGGAAGTGGTAAAACCATGGTGGAAATAGAGATTATGCAATAAATAAACTGGAGTACTGTTTATTATAAGGTACGGAACAATGAAACATACAGACACGATAAATGCAATTTAGTCGATATTTCATCTTACTTGCATGAGGACCTAGTGGAGTACTACACAGGACCGTCAGTGGCACTTATTTCGAGCCATGTCTGTTAAGCAACTTGAAGCACTGGGTTGTGTAGTATCTAGAAATCCATCTAGCGAGCAGTCAAAGATCGACAGCTGTTAGACCTACACAGCTAATTTTACATCACGGCACTATGTCGCAGTGACATTTCTGCTTTAGTTACGCGTTCCAAATCCTCACAAATATCACTTACTGTAGAAAATACGAGAATGAAATTGGTCGATAAGTGAATAAGTGCTATTTTAGTTGCTTGCGAGTCATCACAGCTATATTTCAAAGAGTCAAATGTACAATTTCTCATTTATTAAGATTTAAGTATTCTAACTGTCAAAAAGCAGTAGAGCTGAGCTTTCGGGTAATAGGCACTTATGAACGTTTGCGCAAGCACTTCTATCAGCAAAGGCTTTGGTACAAGTGGAACAGGAATCTCAGAAGTCAAACTATCTATTGTTGCTTACGAAATTGAGAGAACAAAACGCGAATATTCAGTGCTTTAGCCGGGTTGGTGGATACGGAGGACCCACCTACGGAAGTTGAAAAACTCTGACCCCAAACGAGTGGTGTACATGGACTCCAACATCCTAAGAAGACAAATAGCGTATGATCTTATTGTTCGCCACCGGCTACCATTCGAACTGCATCTCCTTACGTTGCTTGTGGACTAGGCATCCAAGTCAAAGGCTCAGGGAGTGATCATCTAAGAAAACTACCTGTTTCGGTTTGAACGCCCGGGCAGTATCTCAGCCCTCACACGAACCGAATGATCTATGTGGCACATATCTACTTGGTGCTTCCTTGTACCCATGTTTATGTGTTTAAATAAAAAAATATTGTACAATATAATACAAGGTTAATGAAAATGTCACCTGGCCTAAAGATGTTTCACTCTGCTGACGCCACTAGTTGATAAACTTCTCCTCCATTTCTTAAGATGGGGAGTAGTTTTATTCGGATAAAAATCGGCTTACATTACATTTATTTTTAGAGGGAGGGGCAATAACCTAATTAACTTTCGGCTAGTATCTCTTCATTCAGCACTCATCAATTTTCTTTTAAATATTCAATCTATGGTGACTTTCTGGGTCATATATTTGCGAGTTTTGCATGGCACAGAGTGTGACTGAACTAAGTGTTTGAGGGGAGATGAGGGGCACTATTATACACAAATGGTTGTAAGACTAGACATATATTAAATGGTTATGAAGAAATAGGCAAATGACTTATGATTCGAATATCTACCTATACATTCCTAGTCTTAGAAAATGGGCAGCCAGTAAGCTAACAGGTTATATAAAACTATAAGTTAAAATAAACAAACGCTGACCGGGTCAGATGACGGCATTGACCTTTGTTGTGCAGCTACGGCAGCCGCTACTGCAGCCATAGTGGCTGACGGATTATTTGTTATTGATGCCAAACTTTGCTGCATACCTAGCCCCGTTTGAGTTGAAATTGTCGTATGAGCCGATTTAGACCCATTCAAGCCAAATAGAGATGGATGATGAGGTCTGTGAGGAGACTGAGAACCACTTAAGTTTTCAGAATTTATACTAGATATTGATGCAGATCCATTAGCACTCAAGTTATGTTTTGGCAGAGAGACATGTTGGACAGCCTGTGGTTGCATTGGTTGTACTGTAGGTAATGTAGTTTGGGGCACCGTAAGCCGATTTTGCGTGCTAGTATTGTTTGGTTCCAAACCGAACTGAGTAGGTGGCATACCTGCTAAGTAAGCCATAGTTTCGCTGAGGAGAAATAATCTAGACTAAAAACACTTTACCTTTTTTGTTTTTCACGAAGGCTTGTCTCCTCGCTGGCGATTTGTTTTAGTCGCTGGAATAACTCATTTCTTCTAGATGTGAGTTCTTCTATGCGTTTACGAGTTACCAAAATCTTAACTCTTGAGTTAAACATGTAAATAACCGTACCTCTTTTTTAGTATTTTCTAAATTCTCTGTATCCATTTCGGCTTGTCGTTTAGATTCTTCCCTTTCACGTCGTAAACGCTTAACAATTGCGTCTTGTGCTTTTTCTAAAGAATCCCAAACTAAAAATGTTCCAGCTATAAGTACCTTCTTGTTCTCGTTTTCTTTTGCTCATAATATATTTCTTCAGTTTCTGGTACATCGCTTGATTAAGCTTATGTCTTTCTATGTTAACAGTGTTCGGCATTTTTAGAGCAACCTTGAGTTTCAATAATGGCGGGCTAAGACGAACAGAGCCTGCCAATTCAATATTGTACCAGTGTCTCTGTATTTGCAGGAGATCGTTTCATTGTGATAAGTATGTATAAAACTACTTAGTTCTGCGTCGTGTAAGTTCATAATTTACTCACACTTATTCATTTTGTCAATGCTAAGTAGCTTTTATCGTTTTAATAATCAAGTCAATAGCTTATGGTATAAGTCATCACATGAGTCTGATAATGTCACACTGTTTTCATGATGAACCAGATGCACATCAGTTACCATATTCCCATCGCCGAGGAAGTGTATTTCAGTTTTGTCTAATAGATTGGACCGTCTGAACGATTAAACGGTATATAAAATACTACTAGTGTAACGTATGATGTTGGGAAAAGACGACAAAATCGGCGTCATCTTTCTAATTAATGAAAAATAACGATCAAAAACCAACTTCAAATAAATATTTTAACAGTGTCTAAGACATTATGAAGTCTATCTGGTAAGAGAATAATGGAGAAATAATATAATTCTGCAATGTGTAGCCTGGATATCTCTAATGCAGCACTTCCTGAATAGAATTACTAAGAAAAACTGTTCAGACTGCTATTAAATGTCAGCGAACCAATTTTACAAGAGCAAACTATATTTTAAAGGCACGTTTTCTGGTTAGATCAATAGACTCATTGGAAAAGAAAATCGAACTCCATAAGAAGACTGAAATACTTTTGAAGATCCGATTTTTATGAAATATTTCAAAATTTATGCAAACCGAGGCTTGAATGGTGAATTGTTAGATGAAAGATGACGACCCTCATGAGGAAACGGCGCTTTATCATCATGGAAAACTCTGAGTAGTTAAGTTTAACGACGAGGGCTCAAAATAGTTCAAAATGGTTTTAGGTAAATTTGAAGATAAGATGAGATACACCGACTTTTGTAACTGTATGTTGAGTGACCAAATACTGGCTTACGATGTATCGAATAGTGAATTAGACATCAATGTCTTACTATTTTCTTTCGTTTATAACTGATTGCTGAGAGGATGGTTCTGTAAAACTGAATAACCGAGACAAGGCGGTCTACATCTACAGCATGATATTTCAACCTGAGCTGTGAATTGTTATAAATTACCGTCATAAAACATGAAATTAGTAACTCCTCCTGATACACCTAGTGTAGGTTGAAGTTTTGCGGCGTTAAAAATCGCAATAATACAACGTAGGTAACGTCACCTCAAATCTTTTCCTTTGAAGAGTTAACATTCCTTGATAAGAGTGTCTCAGTCCTGATAGGAATATTCTTGCTCGAAAACGTGTTGCCAGTAAACTTTATGAAAAAATCAGCAATCCGCAAAAGAGTTAAAACCAGAATTAGATGGCGCCGAATTGTAAATTTTCAGGTAATTTTCGAATCAGTAACATCCGAGCTGGAGCTTGCTAAAAAAGCGATCACAGAACCATGTACACATAAACTCTTTTAGACCGTATGTATTCGTCAAAACAGAAACTTGAATGAGTCAGTCTATAGACAACAGGGAACTTGTTTACAGAAAATTCACGTTGGTAAGAGCTGGCAGAATCAAGGAAATTTGAGGAGGAACATCTACATTCAATATAAACAATATCCTCTTTACTATTACCAATAGCATATTGATTAAGTGCGTAATGTATTGAATAGTTAGCAGCCGCAAAATTGATTCGCGAGTTCTATCTCCAAAAGATGTACAAGTTAAAAAACTGAAAACTATTGCCCTGTAAACAAAGCCAGTTGAAGTTTCGGACATATTTCTGTGTTGGACAATTTGCTATTTAATATTTCAAGATTTCTTAGTAATGGCTTTTAGAGAAACAAGTGAATAAAAACAAAATTTAAATGGTTCAAAAGTTCTAGGTGGAATAGAGGAAGCTTTCACTTAACAGGCCTCCATATCTAGTAGCGGTAGATCGTCTATGACCTCAGGTAAGAATCTGGGTATATTTTATTATAAAAATGGAAATACTGTTAAATTTTATTGAAATACTGTCCCGAGTCCTTGAGAATATGTCACCTTTTCTGTTTGGAGGACTCATGGAAAGTCACATGAACGAGATCGACCAGTAGCGAACTACAGAATATGACTACTTTTAAGGAATAGGAGGTGTGCATTCAATCTGTTCTGCTTTGATGTGTATCCAGTGTCTGGGTGTTACCTCTAAGATTTGTGTTAGAACTGAGCATAGGTGGGTATTTAAAGGGATGCTCAGGAGTGTTCTGGATGTTGTAAATTATTAAAAGGTCACCAATGAGATGCCTATTTTTTGATGGGTACAGGTGCGATGGCTTGTGGTGCTCTACACAAGGTTTGAAATTCAGTTCTCGAACTAATTTCGTAGCTCACCGTTGGATATGTTCCAGAGTATTCCAAATACTTTGGAGTGAGGGAGGATACACGATATTCGCATGGTCTAAATTGGGTGAAATAAGACTTTGAAGATTGAGTGGAACGTTCTTTTGTCAAACTGGCCAAAAACGCGCCTATACATTACCAGTTGAAGTTTTTTTGTAGTCCATTTTTGTCCTAGTTAGCGTTAGACTTCGGATCATTTATATGTATCCTAATTTCAATTGTCTTTTTTCCACACTTAACTAAAATTTTGGAAGAATCAGAAAATAAGCATATTCGTTATCTTTGATTGTTCTTAATAACACAAAGAGAAAGTAAAAGAATCCTTTATTTTTTTAGTGGGGTCCTCCAGGGCTCAGCACTAGGACCTCTTCTCTTCTTAATCTACATTGATGATCTTCCTCAACAGGTTACGTCAGACTTATTAATTTTTGGTGATGATGTGAAACTTTGGACAGAGCTACGCAACCAAGACGATATACAGGCATTTCAGGAGGATCTGACTCGACTTCAAAGTTGGGCAGACGATAACGGACTTACCTTTAACACTTCAAAGTGTTAAGTAGTTTATCTGAGACACGTCGCAGACTATAGTTACAACTTGAGAAACTCCTCTCTAGAAGTATCCCAAGTCGAAGAAGATTTAGGAGTCCTGATACTCTATGATTTGAGGTCTTACGCTAACTGTGACAAAAATGCCTTTCGATCAAACCTTGGACTGATAGCATTAAAGGGCATTTTGGGCCAGTTTGACGGGAGAAACTTCCGTACGATCTTCAACAGTTTTATTCGTCCGCATTTAGAGTATGGAAACATAGCACTTCCTTCCTCACTCCAAAATGATGAGGACACTCTGGAGCGTATCAAACGGCGAGCCACGAAATCAGTTCGGGGACTCAAATTCAAGTCTTATGAAGAACGCCTTCAATCACTCAACCTTTACCCACTAAAGTGTAGGCGTCTTAGAGGTGACTTTCTAATGGCTTGCAGTATCCTTAACACTTCTTGACATCCCCTTAAACACCTACTTAAGCTTATCTCCAACACAAACCTAAGGAGTAAAACCCAGAAAATGGAGACACAACATAGCAGAATGGACTGTGGCACAACTTCTACTCCTAAACAGTAGTCAAATGCTGGAATTCGCTGCCGACTGAACTAGTCCAAGTAAATTCTCAGGAGTTATTTAAGAGGCAACTTGACCTATTCTTAAGGACTAAGGATAACATCTTATTAGGATTTATCAATTTATTTATCCATCTATTATCGTTAATATACCTAGGTTCCTGCCTGGAGGTATTGGTGATCCACTGCTACTAGACATGGAAGCCTGTTAAGCGAAAGCTTCTTCTATTCCGTCCACAACCATTTGAACACGAAATCGATGGTTGCGGAACAAGAGCTTGGTTGCTATCATATATTTTGGCGCGCGTTCGGCGTCCTAAGAGTGTAGCGGGTTTGAAACTGTAGATTGTTATGATTGTGTGTTGCATTTATTTCTAGTCTTCCTTGATCGATCATCTGATTGCTCCGGTTTGATGCTCATATTTTATTGACTGTCGCTAATCGCTTTCATTGATAAGCGCAAATGTATGTATGGAAATATACATACTGCTTGCTAGTTATCTGATCTGTCGGCTAACATTTTCCCACCTCCTTTTCTTCTTCGAGAGTCTTTCTTCACACTCGTTCAACAATTATCAGCCTTAGGGCTCGGTTAGGATATGTCAGCGCTTTGAATTTACCAATATAATCGCCTTTGTGTTTAGAGGTAATCTCTCAGAATATTCCTGATTGATAATTGTTACAACAATCATTTAAAAAAAACATAACTAGAAAGATTTTTTTGAAAGATTTAACTTTTGAGATGAACTTCTCGGATGTGATAAAGGTTACGAATAGTTTGGCTGTTTTGTCGTCAAACGGTATTTACATTGCTTCCGGTTCTCAGCACAAAGTTTTTATTCGTATAACAAACACGCTACAAATATTTCAGATATACAGTTGTGTAGATATAGTGCAGAACATATTGTGGTCAGCAGACTCATTGTTCATTCTGATTATCCTGAAACATCGTGGCATAGTTCAGGTAGCAACTTTTAATATTTTCTTAGTTCCCGTAGATATTCTCTCTAGAAAATCCGGACTGGACATGCAAAGTTGACGAGGGTTCTGCTGGACTTCTTAATGCTATATGGTCACCTGATAGCAGACACTTCTTGACAACAACTGATTTTTATTTGAGGATAACCGTTTGGTCAATATCGGAAGTCTCCGTTTCGTATCTAAAGTTTCCTAAAGTGAGTTCTGGTTGTATTTTGTAAACCCTTAGATTTTTCTCTGGCTTAAAACATTGAGCGGTATCAATAGAGCAATTTTTCTTAATGTATAATAAAGAAAAAGTAATATTTGAAAATGAAACCCCTAGATTTTTCGGAAACATTGTATTCATTGTATTCCTATCTTCTTGTTACATTGTTTATATATGGACTTGATGCTCTACAGTTATTACTTGCTTAGCAGGAGCCACGTAATGTAGATCACTTGATTACTTAATTCATAAGTAATGAAGCCATCTTTATGGTACTAGTAAACAATTTTTGTAAATCATATTTGCTTTTCCTTACCAAGTA